ATTAGGTACTTAGTTTTTGGGACGTCCACCAGTTTATTAGTCATTTTGTACATCATGCATAGTCTGGACATTTTTCTTCGTCTTCCAGAGACACCCAATCTAGGTTAGTGGGATATGCTTTCTGTGGAATATACGAAAACACTCGGCGCAAAATGTTTTGAAAAAAGGAATTGCTACCTTCAAGCATGTAGTGTTTGCGCCAGAAATACGTGGGCTTGGTCATTACTATTTACTGAATTGCTCTAAAATGGAAACGGACAAGCTTTTAAATTATACACAATGCATTGCAAATGATAATGAACAAAAGTATGGTCACCTCGACATAACTTAGTTTTCAACCGTTTTGTATCGTATTCATTTCGGCGCCCTGAAGCTTTGAGGCCCCCATCTTGTTTACGCAATTTTTTTGGCGGGAAAAAAATTATGTACAAGGCCACATTCCAACAGGTGTTTTGAACCACGTGGAGATAAAGAAAAAGGTTTGGTCGATACACAATTTCTTTCAACAAATATAACCTCAAAACGCTGAAAAACTGACTAAAAAGGCATGCACATATATTTTCCAAGCGTACCACACATTGAAAATGAAAACGCGGTAACTTGATAAGACTTTTTCTAAGCCTGTCTAAAATTAGGAACGGCCGCTCCCTAATACAGAAATAGATAATTTCTTACGGAATATAACTTGACATGTTCGTACTAGTTGCTAAGGAATATAAATGTCTGCCAAACAATGTACTGGTTTACCTGCAACAATGAGCGAAGTCGTCTCTATACCACGCTACTATTCCCAACTGTCTCGCCATTTTTGTCTTCTTCAATATTCGCCGGCAGGTCAGGAAATCCGCACTTTCTCTTGAAAACATCATCAGAACGGTACAAATCCTCGGCGAACACTCCCAGACATTCTGCTGCACACTTACTAAGACATTCTACCGACGGAAACGTCTAAAAAGCACCCAGCAAGTTTAAAAAAATCAGCCCAGAGTATTTCCGTCGTACGAAACCGCCATTTTGAACAGACCATATCAAACTTGTTTTTACACAGGTGTGCAGAACGGCCGTGCATAATTAATGTGAAGTTGGTGATCTAAGTATGACGACCAATGAAGGCCCGTTTCGGTGCCAGGCACTTATATGTGTCGAAGAAGGACGATTACTAGTAAATTATATTATATGTAACAAGAGTTCCACGATCTCATACCTTCGCCAAATGATGTTAACCCTTCCGGTTGACGAATTATACAATCTTAATCATTGATTTTGCAAATAAGAGCCTCATTTGCATGTATTATATCAGTTGATCATATTCTCCACCCAATGACAGCCTTATCTTAACAAAGAGGCTATTGTGAGCTATTGTAGCACTTCCTCATAAATTATGTAAATTAGATCACGATTTGAATAAATTATGTTTATTGATGTTCACCTTCAATTAACTTCCAAATGTGGCAAGTATGAAATTCCCATCAGTTACAACAATGAAATTATAACAGTTTCCCATTTATTATGCAAATTAGGTCTTTATTTACATAATCTATATCCACATGTTTTCTCATTCTCAATTGCATGTCACATGTGTTTCATAGTCCTATCATCGAACGAAGCAGATTTATAGAATTTCCTCATTAATTATGCAAATTAGCTCCTGATTTACATACCTCTCATCTGATTATGTTAAGCATCACTATAAGTACCTACACACAAAAAAACATGACAATCCGTCAACAACTTCTTGAGTTATCCCCCTTCAAGGATTTTTCAACTAACACTCTTGCAGTCTCAGAACAAGCTGCTAGGGGGTCCAAACTCATGCCAGTTCTTAACTAGCTCAAGAGCTTTCTACCACCCAAAATTTGTTACCCTAGCATGTCCAGATCGCGAGATATCAAAACCTTAAGTTCTGCTGCAGTACCAACAAAAGCCGCAAGGGGGCCCAAAATTTAATCATTTCTAGTTCCTATCAATACCTACCCACCTACCAACTTACATGACAATCCATCCAAAGGTTCTTGAGATATCTTGCTAAACCACAAACGCTTCTGAAAACAAGTGGTTGTGTATTTAGTGCGTGTTTTAAGAATAATTTTTAGCCTGTGTATTTAGTGCGTGTGTTTTAAGAATAATTTTTAGCCTGTGTATTTAGTGCGTGTGTTTTAAGAATAATTTTTAGCTCTATACTATATGCTAAAAAAAATGGAGAAAAAAATTAGTGCAAAAGGGAAACCCCGATAAAAAAGCCTAAAAACACGCTAAAAATACCCCCAAAACCCAAACCTCTGCTTGGAGAGTAAGTCTAACACATAAAATTTAACACCATCAACTATACATAACAAACAACATATAAGAATATACAATAAAAAGCCCGGAGGTATAAAATCTCAGATTTTACTTGTTTACATCTGTAGAACAACTGTTCTACAGTTTATCCATCTATCAATGCATATTGGTTTCATAATAAGTTTAATCATAAACCAGTCTGGTATGTTGAGGTCATCGCTCCTATCATGGCTTTAGGGATATCACAGGATTCCAAGGTGTGTTTTTATTGTCTTCGTCAGAAGGACTATGAAATTGTCTCGCCGGAGTGTGGGGAACTGCGGATTTTGCGTTATAACTCTGGAAGGCATGATTCGACGTCCATGATTTTTGGCAGGCAGATTTCCCCTGTTGAGGCCGAAGTCAAGTACAAGTTTCGGCTTCGTGGGGGGTCCGTGCGTCACGTTAGTGCACCTTTTGTGTTTGTGGCTTGTTAGCAAGATAACTCAAGTATTTGTAAAATGTTGATTATAATTCTTGGTGTTGTGCTTATTATTGTCGGGACCAAGGTTAAGTTCGTTACTGAGCTTCGTGGGGGGTTTCGTTGTGACTACAGGGGGCATTTTGTTAATTTTTTCTTGTGAGCAGGATAACTTTTGTATGTGTGGATGGAAGTTAATGAAATTTGATAGGCATGTTACTGTGATGGTCTCCAAGATTGAGTTCAAAGATGAGAGTCGTGGAGGTCGTTATGACCCCGTAATAGGACCTTTTGTGTTTAGAAATCCCCCACCTACATCTGCTTGGAGACAGCCGACAGCTGGATATAGCTGGGGAACCCCATAATGGGATGGGATCAAATGACGTTACATTGAGGGATTGTACTATAACTTCAGCAGGGGGAGGATAGGTTGGACACATGTCAGGTTATTTTGTACGGCCACACCAAGTAATTGCTATGGATGACGTCCACTGGAGACCTTAAATCTAATTACCTTAAATTTAAGGCAAGCGCGCAATAAAAACACGAAGGGCCGAAAAACGAGATGCCTAGATTTGGAATAAACTGTAGAAGTACAAATGTTAGGACACAAAGAACACAAGAAACAAGTCTTCTATTTGTCATAAAGACAAATTAACAAAACAGCAGGAGTCACCCTGTTCTGATTCATTCCTTTATAACATCTTCTCTTATTATATTTTGCGGCGCTGTCATGACACTTTCAACACAGTAAGAATTTCTTGAACGTTTTTTTCCAGTAACAGTCCAAACTCATATAACGTGGGGGGGGGCGTAACACGGGTGACGACGCATCTGTATAATCTGCGGCAAACCGTTTCAAGGTGTTCTGTACCATAAAAATAGTACAGAGATTCTTTTGTTCTTTAGACCAAATTGATTATTAAAAAGAGTGAAGAATACGCATGTTAATTTCTCTAGAACGATGTACCTCTGACGAAGACATGAGATCTCCGACCTCTAGTTTCAATTTTATTTCGCCCAGTTACTTAATTTTTTTCTAAATAAAAAAACCAGAACCAACAAAGCAAATTGGTGTGGCCCCAGTTTGCTTGTATTACTGATCCACCCACTCCATCCTGAAGTAAATAAAGTTAGGAAACCCCCTTCCTGTTGGTGTAGTCTGGGGAGATGGGGGAGGAGGTCTGTCTCAGTGTCTGGTCATTTCAGGAGTGATTTCTGGCCTCCTGTGGGAGAGAGTGTGGGAGGGGCGGAAGGACGGGCCAGGGGTTTAATAGCTTCAGGTTCAGACCGCGACCGGTGAAATATGGTGCCAGTTGTAGGTCACCGCAGGAGGTCAAGTGCAAGGTCGCAACAGCACACCATCACTGGTTAAAGGCAGTTAAACTCAATTTCCAAAGTCAATTATCTGGCCATTTACTAAATGTAGTGAGTTGAACAAACCCCATCACATGGTATATTGATATCTGTGAGGCAAAAATGTGATGTTGCTGGCGGAAAACGGTTGCTTGTTTTGTATCTAGGCTGGTCCTACCTATTCATTTGTACCAAAAAATAAAGGGACTCCTCAAAAAGCTTGTTTAATTAATAAGGCTAATTTAAATGATTCAAGTATGAAATGATGATGGAAATGTACTAAAAATGGATGTAAATGTCAATATCAGATTTTGTTTGTTTGTTTTGCAACCCTGATACTATATAGGGCCATGTTGATTTGATTATAATTATGGATGATATCTCTGTGCGCAATGAATTTTTGCCCCTCTCCAAAAAAAAAAGTTTTCGACCATACTGTAAATCATACAAAGCAGCAGCAAAATGAGCAAATGTACACTGTTAAGTGCAATACAAATATTGGAAAACAATACTAAACGTAGAATGCCAAAATTCCAAAGATAAAGACGAAAATGTCACGTAGTAATGAAAATTAAGAGTCTATTATTTGCCATACATTACTCTGTGTTTTTAGTCATTTGTTCAACCTTCACGACCACCTAGATTTCGTAGTGTAGGCAACTTTTTTTTTATTTGCATGCTTGCATCAGTTTTGGGGCTGAGGAACATGGCCTTAGATGCTGGTAAAGTCCAGTCCCTCCTCCCTAAGGTTTCCTCCTGTCCTTCCTGGTAAACACTCACCAGGACACTTGAACTCGCCGGTATCCATCAGGCTGCCTCCCTGCCCACACACTCCGCAGGTGCGCCCGTTACCATAGCAACAACCGACAGACCCACAACCTGTGTCATCACAACAAATCACACAAACACGTCCAGATGTATGTCTCGGCTGACACTTTATTACACCACTATTTACAGTACAGTCCTGGACAGCCAGTGCCATTGGGAACAGGCCAGCTTAGATAAACAAAGACAATCATTCAGAGGGAACGTTCCCGCCAAATCAGCAAATATATTCACAAGTACAAGTGCACGGCCAGTATGTATGTACAGCTTGATAACACAAGCTTAGGGCTTGTTTTTCTCCTTGGATGCAACAGTGACAGAATTCTTACAGTGGATTTATCTAAAAATGTATTTACTTTTTGGTGGACATGAGGTTGCAAATGGACTATTTTACAGCAAGTTCATCAAGTATTTGGTCAGAAATTCAAGTGTGCCAAATTCTTTTTGAGTTTAATTTTTGCTACATAATTTACAAACTCAGAGATGAACTTTCACGCTAGTTTATCAAACTGATAGCAGCTTTAACTTCAGCAGCAGAGATGTATACATGTACCATCCCCCCTCCAGGACTATCATGTCTGACCTTGGCAGTGGGCATCCTGCCAGCGTCCTTGAGCTGACCCCTGTCCCCCTCAGTACACCTGGTTAACACAGTCCCCATGAGATTAATCAACGAATTAATCAGCCCCAAGGCAGGGGACGGCGTCCGGGGCCAGGGGTGACGTTGTGTCACGCGGTGAAGTCCGGGACACCGAGGACAGATGATCGCGGGACAGGAAATTACCCCGTGACCTCGGGAAGACTTAATCCTGCCCCGGCTCAGTCTCCATTAAACCCGCCTCACGTGTGCCACCTCGGCCGCCCTGTTCCAGGGAGAGTCTCATTTGTGGTGGGCCCTCCTGCGGTGCTGCGGCAGGCCTGCGTGGAGACGCGGCCGACTCCGCAGACCCCCGGGGAGTCCTGGGGCTGCTGCAGCTGGACGGAGGTCGTGAGCTCGACTGCGATGTCGCTCGGGGGTTCTGCAGTAGCTCCTGTATCGTGTCTTCGGACACCGACTCAACTAGCACGTCTGTGGGATTGCAAAGGATACGGTATATCTGACACATAACCTTCAAAATAAGTACCTATTTCAAACAGTAAGGCCCACACGGGGAAGTTTAAATACAACATAGGTTTGCGAAACAAATCGGATTACCTGCAGTAGGAGGTTAATTTTCCAGACGACCTGACACACTGTCAAAGCATCAATTAACTTTACAATGTAGCAACAGCGATGTCTATAGCTACTGCATTGTGTGAAAATGAACTAGCAGCAAATTTAATCAGCAGCAAATTCAATCAATCAATGACTCAATCGAACTGCATTGTAAAAAGAATTGAGTACAGATGTAGTAACAGATGTGGACTGATAGATAAACGCGATAAATTGAATGCATGTCTGAGAGGTGAAAAATAGTAACAATTGCAACAAAGCTTATCAGACTTTAAAAAAAACTGTATTCATTTTTCTATCAGAGGAGAGATGAAAACAAACAAGACTCGCTACAAATACTCGCTACCTTATAAGTAACAAGAACAGAACTATAATTAAAAAGACATAAAAGCGAAATGTCCTTGGCTGATAATTAGGAATGCTAAATGATAGACAGTACTGTATCATCTTTTCTATTTGGTGGTTTAAGTTAAGGCACATTGGTCAGTCCTGTGTGAATGGAATGGCGTCAGATTAAGAACTGTAGTTCATTAGACAAGATAATGTGTGCAGACTGGTCACTAATGACAGGTCAATGGACAGCAAGACCAGTTAAGCCATACAAGAGGGCTTGAGGCCTTGGTCTCACCCCTATTTGCTGTTTAGGAAAGTTCAAAACAACTTTATCGTGCTCGTTGTAATAGATCTACTTCATATTCACGGCTGATTTCCACTTCTCTTTGGCGTATTTGTCCTCGGCAAATATTTGCATTGTGCGAGTCTTATTAACTGTGGCAAATTCAAATTTACGGACTGAAGGTATTCAGATAAAATCTGTCTCGCAGGTGTGCGTTTCCACACATTTGTACAAAGGGGCGGGGAGGGAGAACAATGGGCCACGCTGTCATACACCTGTTCAACTGACCTTCAACTAATGAGGACAGGAAACGATTACTTCCAGGTCATAACTCCAAACAACGGCTTGACACTGATGATGTAGATAAAAAGTAACTATCCCGAGTACTCTGCAACTTCGAAGCTCTACCAGATAGCAGGGCAAACAGAAATTATATGAACTATGATCAAACATTGTACAAAAACTCTTAGTTGTGTCCGGGAAGTGATATCAGATGGTAAACAAAGTTTGCTGAAACAATCGGTCTCTTTATTGATAATGTAGCCGACTGGCGGCCTTGGTCTGCCGCTAGGGCGGTTGAACCTCTATATCGATCATACCTGTCAGGACTGATTAACTAATCGTGTTACCACTTGACAGGCTGAGGATAAAGGCCCACCTTGTTTCCTGGCTGCCAGCAGGGCCTGCGCCCGGGCTAGGTAGGAGGAGCCATCCCCTTCAGGCTGGGAGGAGACATCTTCAGCCGGCCTGTCCACCTCTCCATTCACATCTAACACTGCAGGGGGGACAATGTCAACTCAGAAACTCACTTTTCCCCAAATGTATACAACAAACAAATATGACACAAAGCTTTCCTTTCCACATTATATCATTCCAAATCTCAGCTCAGAGTCTATGGTAGTACTGTTGGAAGAAAAATGCAAGAAAATCTGGTAGAAATCCTGATTGGTCTGTAAATTTTAAGATATTCAATTATAAGACACTTCTAACTTTGATGATAAGTCGCATATACATTATATGTATACAGTATATCACTGTGAAGTATAAACTTACTATCTATCAATTATACAATGTACTCTGTAGACCTGCAATTACGACTTTGAATTATTTCAATCTACCTAGATACAGAATAGAATCAAGACTTGATTATTCGACTTCAAAGTTTAGTCCTCTTCTACCAAGCAACTCCCCTAAATAAACACAATGGGATACAGTTCTTTTAAGTTCATCCAAGTATGTAATTATAATGGGATTCATGGATTCAAACAGCCTCAGGAAGGGATAATAGGGGACTTCTTTTTAAATAGACCAGACAAAATGGAGATTTTAAAGATGTGGGAAAATACATGTATGCACAGGGGCATGTATTATAGACTCCTGGACATGACAGTGTCCCACTGTTACACAGTATAGAGGGTCTGCATGGGGGGATCCTGGTAGTGCTTAATGGTAAATTTAGGAGAGCCGACAAAGCTTAATGGTAAATTCAGGCAGGCCGGCAACATTTGATGGAGTTGTTCTTGTGTAAGGCATTAGGAACCAATTCATTGTATCCATGAACACTCGTTATGATTTTGGGGCAATCTGATGTTTGGAAGCCAACAGCCATGGCAAGAATTTTTTCAATAACCCTTTAAAACGATTTCAGGATAAGAAATAATGATTGTGCTACGTGGAACTAAAGCGACCAATAACACCTCACAAAGAATTTCTCCACAATGCTTCAAGTCTGTTACGTCCGGAAATAATCTCTGTAATTAATCCAGTAGTAGAGTTTCATTCATCTTTGTATATTGTTTAAATTTCTAACCTTCATCAACGCAATGCTAAACATTGAATTAAAGCAACCGGCTACGATTACCATAACAGTGAATAAAAATGGCTCCCTACGCCTCTGGAAAAAAGACATGCAGACCCTCAGTTTAGCGGTGGTGGGACGGAAATAGAAACAGTTCTCTGGCCAGCAGTTGGTTCTGATCAGGAAGCCCACCTGCTAGCTGTGTGATTGCCCCGCGAAATGTCACGAAAGGGACGGAGAATTGGAGTCGGGATTACCAACGATTGTTTACCCCAACATAACAAGAACTGTTCAGTTTGCGATGTGCCTCGGACAAGACACGGTTTAAACCGCCTGACCTGTCTGTTTGAACAGACGGAAATAATTGGAAACCTGGAAAATCTTCTTTGAAGTTTCACTGAGCCGAGAATTTACTCTAAGGCAGTGGGGTAAGGCAGGACAGTGACAACAGGTCAGGAAGAAGGTGGCAACGCACAAAGTCAGCCATTGTGTTTTAGGTCACACCAATTTAATTTGTTGCTTCTCGGATCGCCCTGTCCATTTTTTTTTCTGATTTGCAAAAATTAAATGAACAACAAAATGCTCAATGAAAGACATATATTGGCCCCAACAGTTCAAGAAAGTCCTTTTCTTCCTAGTTCTTAAATTTTTTAATGTAACAATGCAATTTTGTTTCATCAAAATCTATTGTTTTCATTATAAACCCACCTGGTATGTTGACTTCATAGCTCATATCTTAACATTTCCGGCTATTTACTGTATTGTGAAGTGTGAAAAGAAAGCCTTTGATTCAGAAGTGCTTTTTTTTCATGGCAGGAAGTCTGCAATCAACAGTCTTGCCTGCAGGAGTACACCTGCCTTTTCCTGTGACTCCTTTGAAGTGTCTCGACTTAGAGGCAGCAATTAACTAAGAAAAAGGAACCATTCAATACAATAATGAGGTAATGGCCACAGGTTGAATTTTTACAATGGAGTGGTTGTACCTACCACTTGATCAGACACTATCATGGCTCTAAAGACCACCTGCATATATGGTGGTTACTGCAGGTAACGTTGGAGCTGTGCAGGTATTTCTGATGTCTACCTGCACCTAACCTGCACTGGTCCATGTACTGGGTATATGCAGGTTAGTGCAGGTAAAATTGGAGCTGTGCAGGTATTTCTGATGTCTACCTGTACCTAACCTCCACTGGTCCATGTACTGGGTATATGCAGGTTAGTGCAGGTAAAGTTGGAGCTGTGCAGGTATTTGTGATGTCTACCTGCACCTAACCTGCACTGGTCCATGTACTGGGTATATGCAGGTTACTGCAGGTAAAATTGGAGCTGTGCAGGTATTTGTGATATCTACCTGCACCTAACCTGCACTGGTCCATGTGCTGGGTATATGCAGGTTAGTGCAGGTAAAATTGGAGCTGTGCAGGTATTTCTGATGTCTACCTGCACCTAACCTGCACTGGTCCATGTACTGGGTATATGCAGGTTAGTGCAGGTAAAATTGGAGCTGTGCAGGTATTTCTGATGTCTACCTGCACCTAACCTGCACTGGTCCATGTACTGGGTATATGCAGGTTAGTGCAGGTAAAATTGGAGCTCTGCAGGTATTTCCAATGTCTACATTTTGTACCTGCAAATAAACTGCACTGGTCCATGTACTGAGTCTATATACATGTACTTGTACAAATGTAGGGCCTGCCGTACACATGCATGTGGATTTCTTTTAAGAATTGGCTGCATTTACTATTACCAGTATAAAAGAAACAAATTTAAATGGAATTGGTTTGTGAACAGTTTTAGTATGATCCATACTTCCTAAATTCTGAGTGGTGCAGGTAAAATCTGTCTGGTGCAGGTTATTTTCAATGTTGACCTGCACCAGTGCAGGTATGCAGAAAAAAGAGTATTTCCACCCCGGACTATGCAATCAACAACTGACAAGAGCAGGTGTAAGAAAACACACACCAGTTGACACAGACATTGTACAATCATGTACATGTATGTGGCACCTTTTAATGTTTCTTAAAGGACCAGTGCCAGTGGTAATGGGGAGTCCCTGGACTTGACCCTGCCACGGATCAGGTCTTGTCCAGTCATGTGATGAGAGCAAACTTTGTACAGGTGGAGCCCTGGTCCCTGTTTGTTTGTGTGTGTGTCTGGGACAGATCACTGTAACAAACACTTGAATTCCTGAGAGTCTCCTGCCACGGGTACTCTTTAACACAGTGACTGCTTATTAGGTTCAAGGTGTTGCTGAGACACTGCTGGGGATTGTTAGGGTTGGAGTAAGACTTTTATATACTATTACATGTACTGATACATATAGAATACTACATGGTGCATTCTGTATCACATGAGGTACCAGCCCGACCGCATGTTGGATTGCTCAACAGCATACATGTGTGTAGGAGGGCTTTGATAGAATGAGCATGAGGGTCAGCCTTTGAAGCTTTCGTCTGCTGGTAGCAAATTGTGGACAAAAGCTAAAAAGTTTAAAACTCAGGCTTGGGCTTGGACTAAAGGTGGATTATATTGTGTTGTATTTCGCAAAATGTATTTGTCACCCGAGAAAACACACATCTCAATGTGAAATGTGCCCAAAGTTGAGACTACATGTATTTGTGGTGGCCCTGAACAATAAATACTAGTAGATTCCAACGTCCAAATGCAGTATTAAAATTTTACCAAACCAGCACAATTGCCCTGCACACATTCATATTATTGTATGGAATTTTCGGAAGCCCATGTGATAACCGTTTGAACCCCGTAAGGAACACTCACATCAAACGTTATCAGGTACATGTATGCCATGACCCAAGTTATCACACCCGTCTTGAACATTATCTGGGCCAGGGTATGTTATAACACAAGTTATCACAGTCAGGCCAGAACACCCGTCTTGAATGTTATCAGGGACTACATGTAGGTATGTCATAACCCAAGTTATCACATGGGCACCTGAATTGAATGTTATGACATGATTATACAATGTAGTTCCATACCAGCCAGTCTCCTGCCCAGTGCTCCCTCTGCCATCTCCATGTAGGAAGGCTGTCCTTGCTGTTCAGTCTCTTCGCTGTCCCGTCTGACTCGGACAGACTTGCTGGCCTCCTCCAACAGCTTCCTGAGGGTGTCCTCGGGCAGCCTGGGCGTGTCCACGGTTGCCATGGTGATGCGGGAGGACCGGGAGGAGGCCTGGGACCTGGGCGACAGGGACTCCTGCAGGGACTGGGTCTCTGAGGTGGCCCGGGACGACACCTGGGCACACTGGTCCAGCAGGGCCTGTAACTGGAACTCTGACAGGCTGGGAGACTCCATCTGAAGAAAAACCAATCTTAGTGTAAGAATCCAAGTTAACTGTGAGTCATGGGAACATTTTTGGTGCTATCAAGCACGTAAGAAGAACGTACAGCACCTGCGTGAAACCCATGTTTTTCAAGGATTTTATTGGTATTATACCAATGTGCTGTACTATAACATACTGTAATGTACGAATATAAACTAGCCATTCAAGTTTTGCCCTGCAGGAAGGCAGTAGGATGGTAGTAGGATGCATGACAGTACGAATCTGTAGGATGTCAGAAGGAAGACAGTAGAGTGTCAGTAGATGACAGTAGTATGGCAGTAGGATGGTAGAAGGATGCATGATAGTTGGGTGGTAGTAGAATGGCAGTAGCATGACAGTAGAAGACATCAGGATGACAGTAGGATAAAAGTAGCATGACAGTAGGATGGCAGTAGGATGACAGTAGGATGGCAGTAGCATGATAGTAGGATGGCAGTAGTATGGCAGTAGGATGACAGTAGAAGACAGCAAGATGACAGTAAGATGGCAGTGGGATGACAACAGGATGATAGTAGCATGACAGTAGACAACAGTACAATGACAGTACCTCCTGTTCCACCTGTGTCTGCAGTTCCTCCAGCTCCCTCTCGATGTCGTGCAGTCGGTGCTGCTGGTCGCGGACCTGCCGTGTGTCCCGCAGCACGCGCTCCCCCAGCTGCATCACGTCCAGCGAGGACCGCAGGTCCGTCATCTGGAACAGCTGACGGAGGAAGAAGGAGGATTTTAGTACTTTATTACCTGCAGCATCACTGATGAGGGCCTGCATGGGGGTCCCGAAAACGCTCTACGCTGAATTCAGAAACCTCTCGATTACGCTTTACGATAAATTCCAAGTGGCTACGACATTACGTAAAATCAAAATGTAAATTACGCTCTAGGCAAAAATGCGCCAATTACCCTCTACGTTGAATTAGAGCAGTCCGTCTACGCTCAACGTAGAATTAAAACGGCCGATTACGCTCTACGGAAAAGGGCATGCAGGCCCTCATTGATGACTGGACACAGGGCTGGGCTGGTCCACATGGCAGGCACATGGGGTTTACTATACAGAAATACCACCTGTATATGCAGGTTAGTGCAGGTAAAATTGGAGCTGTGCAGGTACATGTATGTCTACTTGCACCTAACCTGCACTGGTCCAGAACAAAACCCCAAACACTAGGGTGAGGGGGGCATATTTGTATATAATATGATCAGTGGTGGTCAAAAACAGACTTGCATATTCTAAGTAGTTTCAGGTACTACTAAGCATATTCAGGTACTACTGAAAGTAGCATAATTGAAGATCTGTCTTAATGAAGTTATAAATGGCACTTAAGAACAATTTTTCAAACCATTTCAATTTTTATGAGCTGAGAGGAATAGAATCTGTAGCGCAACTTGTCTGTTGCAGGTAATCTTTAATGTTGACTGTACCGGTGCATTTATATTTTGCACCCTGCTATACATGTATTGTAGCATCACTAAATACAGTACATGTACCTGAAGTAGTCATAGATCATTAGGTGTCATTTGATACATTCTTTTAATAGTCAGTTTCATTGACGTTTTAGACAATTGTCTGGTATAGAGAGCAGTAATGCTTCATACTGGTCTGCGTTTAGATAACATCTTGAGTGAGGGACATACATGTAAGACAGTCAGTCGGCAGATCCACATGTGATTGTCGGAGTGGCCTGACAACTATTTTATAGCCATGAGATATCCCCACCAAGGTCGTTCCAGGTCACCCTATTTATAAACTTCTAAATAGCTGTGATGAGGACAGGATGTCCCGTGGTGGACCATCCCAGCATGGAAACACAACCCGCTACAGTTAGCCAATAGGGAAGGGGCTGGAAGGGAGTGAGTGAGGGTCTTTTCAGGACGCCAAGTCCTTTGGGGCTTCACCTGCTAGGGACAGGACCAAAATTTGGAAGGAGGCAGAACAAAACGTGCAACAGGAAAACCTCAGAAGTGTAAATCAGGTGACAGGAAGTCATGTTGGCTTACAATCATCCACCAAAACGCAGCGGTGTACAACAGAGAGGGTCTGCATGGGGGGATCTTGGCAGCACTTATGGTCCACTTATAGGCGGGCCAACAAAGCTTAGCGGTAAATTCAGGCAGGCCGGCGACGCTTAACGGTAAAATAAGTTCCTCTTGAGTACGAGTTCATTGGAATGTTCCGTTGGAATTTTGGCAGCATTAAATGGTCCACTTACTATAGGCAGGCCAACAATGCTTAGCGGTAAATTCAGGCAGGCCGGCGACGCTTAACAGTAAAATAAGTTCCTCTTGAGTATAAGGCTTTGCGAACGAGTTCATTGGAATGTTCTGTTGCAATCGCAAAGCTAGACTGCGGAGCTCGGATGCTCCGTTATGATTTTGGGCAAATTATCTAGTGTTTGACTACGCAATAGGAAGAAATTGTTTGATAACATTCATAGTGATGAATTCGGGATAACAAATAACACAATCACAATAGAGAATGGGTTGCAACGGAGGGTCTTTTCAGGACGCGAAGTCCTTCAGGGCCAAAATTTGGAACAAGTCAGAACGAAACGACCAACCGGAAAACCTCAGAAGTGTAAATCAGGTGACAGGAAGTCATGCTGGCTTACAATCATCCACCAAAACGCAGCGGTGTACAACAGAGAGGGTCTGCATGGGGGGATCCTGGCAAAGGTTAACGGTAAACTTTGGAGGGTTGGCTATGCTTAACAGTAAATACAGAAAGGCCAGCAACACAATAATGGTAAATTAAGTTCTTCTTGAGTAAGGCTTTGGGAACAACTTCTTTGGAATGTTCTATTCAAGAGGTGTAGGGTAAAACTAAACTGCGGACCTCGAATGCTCCGTAATGATTTTGGGCAAAATATCTAGTGTTTGACTATACTGTACAAAGACATTTTTCAATGACATTCATAGCGATGAATTCACGAGATAACAAAAAATGTGCTATGCGGAATCAAAGCAACCAATTTCCCAAATCTACCAACGGCGCTTCACGTTTAATTAAAGCGGCCGGCTACAATTGACGGTAAATCAAACTGGCTCGCTACGCCTCATGGAAAAAGGCATGCAGACCCTCAGTCATGTTCGCTAAACAATCAGGGACCAGAGTGCCGCCCCCGTACAACAGACAGAGCCGGACCAGATGCCGTGGGAGAGAATCTAATTCAACAAATCAGCTGCTACTTGCTTCCAATTTACTCCCCCCGGTTACCTTGGCCTTGTGAAGAATTTTGGGGCGGGTTGGCATGTGCAGGTTGTCGCGGGAATTTAACTTCTTCAAAGCTCATGCAGATTAGCTCATCCATACCGATATGGGAGGCAGTAAAACATTAACGTTAGACACCTGCTTCTTATTTAACATCATTAGACATCCTGGGGAGACACACTGCTTCTCATCTCACACACAAACACCTTATAATTTGAGATTTACAAGTTGGTGACATTTTTAACTAACACAGAAAACACTACAGCAGCTACTGTCTTAGATTACAGATTATTATATTATCATATCGTAGATTATTATATTCGTCATATTAAAGAGGTGAAGGGTACTGATTTACAAGTTGATGACAATTTTAACTAACACAGAAGACACTACAGCAGTTGCTGTCTTAGATTACAGATTCTTATTATACTATAAATGTATATCGTATCATATTTGTCATATAAAGATGTGATGGGTACTGCCATAACTGCCATGCAAAGAGAAATTCTTTTTATTTCATTTAACCTTTAGCACACCAAAGTAGCCCTATGGCTACCAAATGTCTAAACTTGCTAAGCATATATATGGGGAATATTTTTTTATTAGGCAGCAGGGTGAAGGTTATATATATGACATAATTTTGCCAATCACAGCACAGATTAGCACCTACTGTCTTTGCAACCAGAAAAGAAGGCCGGAGAAGGAATTGAAGATCTCTTTTTTTCCTAGTATTAGGCTAGTGATGCCTTGAGTGCATTAGCAGAAGTGACAGAGATGTAGTTACAATTTGAGATATTAAAAAATGCTCGCATACGTTTGTTCCTATTACTAGTGTGTGCCTTTCAAGAAAATATGGTGAATAAAAACCGAAGCGCTGGCCAGAAAAATTGATTTTTCTAAAAAGGGGGCGTGGCTCATAACTCGAGATGACGTCATGATTACGTCATCAAAATTTGCATAAATTATCATCTTGCACTAAGGTACTTACACAAAAAAATCAATGACCATAGGTAATCCTAAGTAGTATTTTTAGGATGTCCCCAAAGTCCTCAGCCACCCTTCCATACCACCTTAAGTAGTTGCAGTGAACACTAAGCTGCACATGTCACTTTCTTGAAAAAAAGGAATAAAAGACTTGTTGGATGTGATGTACCATGTCTTATTGCTTCAATCAATAATTATTCTTGCTACAATATTCATGGCCTCTATTTTGAAACTGTGCTTTTTAACACATCTAACTTGTTTTTACTCACTCTCATATTTATAATTTAAGTCTGTAGACGATGTCATCTATAAAATCTATTTGTTCTGGCCCTCATCAAGTCAAAATGAAAACTTTTCTTCTCACAAAAACTACGAGCAGCTGTATCAACAAAGACTGCAGAGGGAAAGACAGAGGAGGAAGTTGTGAGATGAGGCGATGGTTTTCTCTCTCATGATACTGTCTCTGTCAATGCACCAAAACACAGACTGCCGGGACAGACAGAAAAGGAAGTTTTGATAGAGGAAAATGGACTTAGTCTATTTGACACACATGTACCAAATATAGCTGAGTACCTGGGACTAATACTAGCATCAATTTGCAGGGCTTGAAATACTTACATGTATCTGAACTGTTGCAGGTAACATTGAAAATTATCTGAACCAGAGAAGGTTTACCTGCACCACTCAGAATTTAGGAAGTGTGGATCACATTAAAAATTGTTCAGAAACAGTTGCCAAAAGTAGGGGTCCTTCCCGGTGTGAGTGGTTCAAATCTTACAATCCGGTCTTATGTACAATGTAGCTGTTACAATGCAAAACAGAGTTATGTCTACAATGCGGTTTACCAGTTATGCAATACAAACAAATAAAACAACAAAAATGTATCCCTCACCTCATCATTCTGTATGTTGTAGTTCCTGGGGCTGCTACAGATGGACTCATAATCATGGGGTGGTAACAACACCTGCAAGGTACACAAATAACAATACAGTCTGACTGTCATATATAACACATCGTTGATCAGACCACGAAAGTTAATTTAACTTCCTTCATGTCCGAGCTATGCTGATCTAATATTTAGTTTGACAAATCTGTCATCTGTGTGGATAAGTGGGTAGAGTGTTCACCTTACGTTCGGTAGATTGTGAGTTTGATCCATGATCCGAGTCATACCAAAGGCTTTAAAAAATGGTACATAGTGCTTTCTCTGCTTAGCATTCAGCATTTCGGAAAGGGTCAAGCACATAGTGCTTTCTCTGCTTAGCATTCAGCATTTCGGAAAGGGTCAAGCACACACACACCACTAGGAGTGGACTAGCCCCCTGCTGTAGTGATTACATGACTGTGTGGCCCAAGGGCTATTGGACAGGAGATGGGCACTGCCCTATGCACCATCTACCACGAGAGGGCTGACATTGTTTATGAACATGTGTACCTTTGACCCATTAATGTTGACATCACACTGAAGCCACGTGACAGTGACAAGTCTCACTGGGTCAGTCTATTGAGGAAGGCCAGAGTCAAAATCTCTTGGTGAGAACAATCTTTTGTGTTGGAACAAAGATTTTAACTTTAAAGCGATATTGTCTAAAGTTTTCACTATATATATTTCAAACATAATTGCTTTACGCATTTTCTTGCGCGATAAGCCTACCTGGGTTCATGATGACATTTGGGGAGTAAAAGATCAACGTCTTTGCGCCACAAAAAACATGTTGGAAAACTGCCAACTCCAGCCGCTGTTTGTTTACATTCTTTTTAGGAGCCTCCTAAAAATACAGCAGGCTTGGCGCAACTTATTCTCGAGTCGCTGGAAAAGCTTCATCTACAAAGCAACGCTAATATGTTGAAAGTCATTCAAAATGACAATCTAGATGAGAAAATTTCAATTATTATTTATATTTCCAGTTTGGGCGCAAATATCTTACATAATATTGCTTTACGTTGATGGTTAGACATCCAGGCAATAAGATACGCCAAAAAGCAGTTACTCAAGCAACTGGATATGATTTTGGAAATGGTCAGATGTTTCAGCTGGTATCTAGTACTAGCTTTGGTCAGTGACTGAGAGACCAGAGGAGAAATGCAGGTTTATAAGCACAAACTATTGATTGATATGCTTTAAATAACTAAGAATCTAAATGTGTGACCTGTAGTTTGGAGTCGATGTCCCTGAGTGCCTTGATGTCGTCCTCCTCAGGTGTGAAACCTGTGCCGGGGACCAGTGACAGCTGGAAAGGGTTCACAGGTGTGTCTCCAGCCTGCAGGGATAGGTGGAAGGACAGGGACAGAGTTAAACTACATGTACAGTCAAACCTGCCAAGGTGACTACCTCTTCATGCAGGCCACCTGGCCATGGTGACCACTTTCTCTCGGTCCCAAAAATTTTCCCCATTGACACAAGCATTAGGCAACCTGTCCAAGGTGACCACCTGGCCAACGCGACTGTAACCGCCCTGAGTTGGGTCTGCTCAAGGCCCGATACCTGCCCATGGTGACCACATCTTTTTCAATCATGTTAATTATTGATGATAACCAATGAGAAATCATGGAGAAACCAGCCAGTTTGCCTCGACTGCTGGATGATATTTTTCTTCCACATAAATTGTTCAGAATGTTCCACCCTCCCCACATGCATTCACCACAGAACTGAAGATGCTTAAAGCATTTGACATTAAAACATCTCGACTTGGAAACCATTTTATATGTCTCAGTCATGTTGTGAGGCGACCCTCTTCAAGAAGACCACCTGTCCAAGGTGGCCACTTTTCTTTGGTCCCCTTGGTGGTCACCTTGGGCAGGTTTGACTGTACATTGTACATGTATGCAGGTGCCACTGGAAAAATCTACAAAAAGGCAGAACCACTGGACAATTAACTAACAACTCCCTAGCACAGATGGTAGGATGTCCTGCGATTTCCTCTATAAGTATGATATAAACCCCAGACAGCACCGTTTTGGGATCTCTGTATAGGGCAGCTGGGTCAACACATAAATCTACATGTCTTTGAAACTGATGGAATAGAATTGTAACAATAATTCTACAAATCTCTTTCAAATATCTAAGAATATTGGATATTTAAGATTCGATTTGTAGAATCTGATATACCAATTCACAACTATAATTATTACCAGACAACAAAAAGACATCATTCCGAAACATAAACATCACTTTTAAAGTTTACAGCTCCTTCCTCATCCCTAAGACACCACAAGTTTACTTTGATCTGTATCAGGAAGTACTAGTAACAGCTGACATCACGGAAGACCCCTTTCAACAGGAGGCTATTACACTTATCTTAACACGATCAAGTAATGTAAATATATCAACAAGGGACATTAGGTGTAACCACTGAAAGTGGCAATTAAAAACAGCTCCTGTGGTTCACTTGGCTGCCTGGTGTGGTGTGGTGACGAGGGTCTGCATGGGGGGATCATGGAAATGCTTAACAGTAAAATTTAGAAGGGCCGACAACGCTTAACGATAAATTCACACAGGCCAGAAATTACTCGTGTAACGTTTTTGGAATAAGTTCATATAAATTCAATATTATATAATAAATTCAAATGTTCATTGTATTCAAGGGGTGTTTGAAAAATTAGTCAGTAAACCTGGGACTATTGGACTGTTATCATTTTTGGCTAATCTGGCATTCTACTATGTGATATGAGGAAGTTTTAAATAACTATTCTTCTTTTAACTTCCCAAAACCCCCAAATTTTGGAAAAGGTGGGACATTACGTCTTCCATGGTTTACAGAAGAGAAGTCAAACCCCTCAGACATAGTTTTAGACATAGTTATAGTTCTAGACAACTACCTTCATTATGTAGACTTTAGTTATTTTATACTCTGTTTCAATGTTCTTTCTTGTTTTGTAATTTGCAATTAGCCTCTACTGGGCACGAATTTGCAATCATCTTTCATTTAATAATCCATAATGATGAATTCAGGATAACAAATAATCAAACATATCGTGTGGAATTAAAGCTACCAATTACACTTCCCAGGAAATTTCCTGACAATATTTAATGTTAAATTTAACTTTAAATTCAAAGCGGCCAGCTTTGATTAATGGTAAATTAAACAGGCCTGCTACGCCTCACGGAAAAGGGCATACAGACCCTCAGTTGTTGACAAAACATGTTCAACCTAACACAAAGTTTGCGGGAAGCTAATAGGAGGATGGTACGACCGACCTGACCCGGATGAAGCGAAACCCTTAAGAACAGGAAAACAACCTTAATGGGACTTAGGCCACAGTAAGTTAATTTTATGGACGACATCCTCTTCAGAGACTCCAAATCTAATGCAAAGTGGCAAAAAAAAAATCAAGGCGGGCCAAAAAAACAAGATTCCCACATTTAAAAATTTTGTTAAACAAGAATTGAGGCGACAAAACATGATACCACAACCAACAGGTCTTTATTCCTGCATTTAACAGTATATCACCTGTCCTTGTAGATGTGTATATACATCTCAATATTAACAATTGTAGAAAAGATTATTCATATGTGATGAAACACCTTAAACTGATAGCATTTGCCATCAAAGACAAGCAATTGTGCCTCAAGTTTGCTGGATTGCTGACGGTCTCTGAACCGATAATATTTTGTCAATTTTTGGCATGTTGTGCAAGTTTTTTCCCCACGAAATTAGGCGAAAATCAATGCGTGCATGTTCTGATGTCATACGTCAAAATTACTTGCTGTGGCCTTATCCTCGGAGTAGCCCTGAGATCCACCACACCTGCACGGGACTATTCCACATGATGATCCCAGCGACGTGTTGCCAAAACACACAACTGCTCGATCCGCACACATCCTTAACAAGCAGGATAACCTACGTGGTAAAAGGTTGGGCTTTGGAAAAAAAAGTTGTGTTTCATGTTTCCCGACCCACCCTAGAAAAAATGAAGACCCTGGCCTTTTTTTGTGGACCCCTGCAAGGGAAATAAAGTTTTCGAGCTGATCGACCTTTTCTACCTCGGAGTCCATGATCTGACACCTGAGTAATAAAACGTAGACAATTGGTTTTCCAAAATTGACAATATTATTAGTGTCCTCATACAAGTTTCACTTTGTGTAGTGTACAAAATGTATAAGTTGGATCACTAAAGATCACCAAAGTCCAAAAAAAAAAAGAGAAAAGAACAAAAAAAAAGAAACCCCTGCCTATCGACCCTATTTTTGGGGGAATGAAAAAGTCTTTAAAAAAAAAGACCAAAAAAAGAAAACCCCTACCTACCGACCCTAATCTTTTTCAGGAATGAAACAGGAAACACAACATTTTTTCCCTAGGCCTTGGTTAAGTTATAAACACAAAACAGACAGTCTCCCACCTAACCAGCTATCATTACACTTCCCAGCTGACAGCTGCCCGGTAGCCACCGTTGGGGACGACAAATCGTCGCTTCTATCCCATAATCCTCGGCTATACCGCGGCTCCTGAGCTGGGGTGTCCTCTCAAATCTCGGCTTGCCTTAAATTAGTAACTGTATTTACTACAATTACTGTGCACCTGCCATGATGTCCACTTGGCACAATAATTCCAGATCTACTGTAAATCACTTTATATTCGTGGTAGCAAAATTTCGCGGTCTGAGAAAAATGGACATGTTCGCGCTAATGATAAATTTGTGGCACAGAAGTGACTGCGAATATTAAAGTACAGCGAAAAAAATCATCATTACAGATTGTATTACTCATTACATTGTACATTTCACTGTATACAACTGTAGGTACAATGTACATGTACATGTAGGTAAAGGTACATTGTCCATAGCTTTTTTCAGGCCATAGTGGCAGTGGGTTGATAGATAGTCACATATACATGTAGATAGATAATTCAAAGAGACAGGTACACTAAATGCAGAAAAAAAAGTATTTCGAGCCCTGAAAGCTGATATTAGAATATGGTAATATACTATCATTGCAGGATTCTAAGTTGATCATGTACAGAAGTCAGAAGTACGGCCTGGAGCTACCAGACTTGTAACCTGCCTTGCGTAATATCACTTGTCAAGGTAATGACAGATTGTCTGCAAGGACTCAAGATGCATTGTTTTCACCCGAACACAGCTCTGCCTTTGTCAAACGAAGTAGCAAGGTGCCACGGATTAAATCTAGAACAATAAATCTATAATGAAAGAACAATTGGTGGAAGACAAGGACACAATGCATTGTCTGTAGATGGTGATATGGTAGAGTGAGTCTCAACAATGGAAAGGTTGACATTGACGACATTGGGAGCAGCTACCTGGCGCCATAACGTGATTAACACATATCGTCTTACTGGTAGTTACTTCCGTCAAATTGAACGCTCAGCTTAAGACCTATGAATGAACTTCATTGCAGCTTCAAACATTTGCGAGTAGGGCAGGGCAGTAGGGGCATTGACTTAACACTTGCAGGTAAAACTTTTGCAGATGACATTGTACATGTAGGTTAAAGGCATCCAATCATATGCAATTTCAGGGTGGCAAAACTGGGTTTTCAGAGTAAATTTTCTGGTCATTTTTAATGTAGTACACAATCATATTTTTATTACTAAAGTGGTATCAACCCTATCCCATAGCATACTGATATCTTTGAGGCAAAACTATAAATTGCTGACGGAAAACGGTTTCTTGTTTTGTATCATAAGATAGTTCTAGCTATTTACATGTATGGGTGGTACCCAAAAAAGTAAAGAGATACATCACATATATGTAAATTTGTAGCTTTGTTTGGGGCTATTTCTTACGTCTCTAGTATGAAATTATGATGAAATGTGCTTAGAAATGGCAGTAAATGTCAATACCAGACAGATGTCCCTATCCAGAATTATTTTTAATTTTGCCTCCATGAAATTGTAGTAGAGGCCTTTAAGAAAGAAGGTGACCTGAAGGTTAAAAAACAATGGCGTTACCAGCGTGGACCCATGAGTGGATTTTCTGCAGGTAGTGGAATCCAGTCATCCATCCCACATTGTCGTTAAAAGTCCATTGGCCCTTTACTGATGGATCGCATCAGACTTGTGCCTGGACTGTTGGGCTCCCTTAGCTTCGACCACATTGTTTGCAGTTTAACTCTAAATCACTCCAAGATACACAACAGTAGCCTGCCCTGCAGATGGATGTCTACCAGGAGAAGTCAGCCTTCTTGGCAACTGTCTGTCTACCACGAAGGAAAACCACAACAAGGCTTCTGGCAGGAACACTTCAAGTTGACTTGAGGGGCATCACACTAAAAGTGCTGTGTACCGGTTCGTTGGACCAGTTC